AAAAAAAAAAAAAAAAACTCTGTTACTTCACAGAAACTTCATTTGTTTTTGTCTAATAGCCAGTCAAACAGCAACTTGACACCCTGGCAACTTTTCACAGGTACCATTTAAAGAAACCTGTTGTCCAAGTTGACTATGAATCATCTTCTATTTTTATTCAACTTTGAATAAGGACCACTTCCTAGTTTTAGTTTTACTCAGTCCTACACAAGCCCCATACTTGATTATGCATATATATAAAAGAATAAACATTTATCCACTCACATTATAAACAAGAACCAATTAATTAAGTTTGATCTTCTTATATATGTATAGAGAGACAGAGAAAAACAGAGAAGACTTCATCATAAACTTATAATTTGTGCTCAAGCCATGGTTGAGTTTTTCAATAGTGGTTTGGTAATAAAATTCTTGACACTGTGTGCCCTTGCTTGTTGCTTTAACAACGTTGTACCGGTGGCTGAGGCCCGAGTTCGAGTCTACAGATGGGAGGTTAAATACGAGTTTAAATCGCCAGATTGTTACAGGAAGCTCGCCATAACTATCAACGGCAAAACTCCCGGGCCGAGCATTGTCGCACGGCAAGGCGACACCGTTGTCGTGGAGCTCAAGAACAGCTTGTCGACCGAAAATGTGGCCATCCATTGGCATGGGATTAGACAGGTGATTGATTGTTTACTATACTTGAATCTTACAACTAAAATTTTCTTTCAAAAATATATAAATTGATTATTTTGTTGCAGATTGGTACACCGTGGATGGATGGAACAGAAGGGGTGACTCAATGCCCAATTCTGCCTGGTGACACTTTTGTGTATAGATTTGTTGTGGACAGAGTAAGCTAATTAATCTTCCTTATGCTATAGTTTTAAGGGTTTTCTTGAGATTAATTAACAGTCTCTCTTGGTTGTTTCTCCCTGCAGCCTGGCACGTATTTGTATCATGCACATTACGGTATGCAGAGGGAAGCCGGTTTGTACGGCTCGATTCGTGTATCCCCGCGTGATGGCGAAACCGAGCCGTTTACTTACGATTACGACCGAAGCATCATCCTCACCGACTGGTATCACAGGAGCGCTTACGAACAAGCTACAGGCCTATCCTCCATCCCCTTCGTTTGGGTTGGAGAACCCCAGGTACTCTTCCAAAAAAGAAATTAAATAAATAAATAAATCACTATCAATTACACTGTTCCTAAATATAGAAGTTGTACTAATGTGCATAATTTTTTTTTGCAGTCAATCCTGATTCAAGGCAAGGGAAAATTCAATTGCAGCACACCAGGCATCGAGGCCGCGCGGTGCAACGCGAGCAACCCCGAGTGCGTACCCTACGCTCTAACTATCGTACCCAGCAAAACGTACCGTCTTCGGATCGGTAGCCTCACGGCACTCTCAGCCCTGAGCTTCGAGATCGAGGGCCACAACATGACGGTAGTCGAAGCCGACGGACACTACGTAGACCCATTCGTCGTCACCAACCTCTTCATCTACTCGGGCGAGACCTACTCCGTCCTCGTCACGGCCAACCAAGACCCGTCCCGAAACTACTGGGCCACCGCCAAAATCGTGAGCCGTAACAGCTCCACACCCGCCGGCCTCGCCATTTTCAACTACTACCCGAACCACCCCCGCCGGCCGCCCCCCACGATCCCTCCCCTCGGGCCCGCCTGGAACGACGTAGATCCCAGGCTGGCTCAGAGCGTGGCCACACGGGCCCACCCGGCACACGTCCACACGCCGCCACGCGCCGCGGACCGGACGATCGTGATGCTCAACACACAGAACAGGGTGGACGGGCGAGTTAGGTGGTCGGTCAACAACGTGTCCTTCAACCTCCCGCACACGCCTTACCTAATCGCCTACAAGCACGGTTTGCTGGGCGGGGTGGACAGGCGGGCCCCACCGGACGGTTACGACTCGGCGAATTACGATATTTATAGTGTGGCGAGGAACGTGAACGCGACGGTTAGCAATGCGGCATATAGGTTGAGGTTCAACTCGACGGTGGATGTTGTGCTGCAGAATGCCAACACGATGAGCGTGAACAACAGCGAGACGCACCCGTGGCATCTGCACGGGCATGACTTCTGGGTGGTGGGTTACGGGAGGGGTAAGTTTGATCCCGAGAGGGATCCGATGGGTTATAATCTGGTGGACCCGATAATGAAGAACACGGTGGCGGTGCACCCGTACGGATGGACGGCGATGAGGTTCAGGGCGGATAACCCGGGAGTGTGGGCGTTCCATTGCCATATAGAGTCGCATTTCTATATGGGTATGGGTGTGGTGTTCGAGTCCGGGGTTGAGAGGGTGGGAAAGTTGCCGGAGTCTATTATGGGATGTGGGGAAGCGAGGATTGTTAATCATAGTAGGCCATGACACACACACAGGGACCCCTTTGTGTGTGCGCGCGTGTGAAATTTCTGTTTTTTTTTTATTATTATTATTATTTATTTATGTTCTTGAGTAGGTGAAGGGAATCATCTCCGATGGTATGTCAACTGTGGAATTGTAGAGGCATTAGAGCATGTCTAATGACTCACTGTCTATTTTGAGATGTATGGTATGGAGAAAGAAAAAATTATTTTGTATTCAATGGTAATCTTAATTGTGGGATAATTTGACACATGTAATACAATAATTGGTTGGTAGAAACATTAATACAAAATAAATTGTAACACCCCAAACTCATGTCGTTCATTTTATGCTTAGTATTATTTTCATGGATATTATTTATGTTTAATTTAATGATTTACAATGTTATTTTTATTTTTATTTTTATTGTAAGCTCGATTTTTATGTGATGATTAAGTGAGTGTCCACACTTATTTAATTATCAAGTTAATGATTAAAAATGGAATTATTTAGATGTCCTCATCTATTTAATATTCCTAAGTATTAAATGCAATTATGTTAATATAATTTTAATTATGAAATGACTTAATTTAATTAATATAATTTTAATTTTAATTTATTAAAGAAGATAATAAATATTAAGATGATAAATTAAGCTCAAATAACAGTCCAATTTTCCCAAGCCAGATAAAAAGCTCAAGACTTACGATATTTTCATCCCTCATCCAAGCAACAGGACTCCTAATTTTTATCAGTTCCCTAGTTCTATTGTGCAAAGAATTCCTATTGTATACGGTACCAATCCCACACATTAAATATCTCTCATCTCTCACGGCACTCTCTCTTTATTTATCTCTCTGTCGAACCCTCTCTCATCTCTCCCTCGGCATCGCAGCAGAACAGAGAAGAAGGAAAATAAAAATCTGCTCCCTCTCGTATAAGCCATCATCTCCCTCTCATCTTTGTTTTAATAAAAAAAAAAAAAGAAGAAAAAGAATCGCGGCCCAGCAGAGAAGGAATCTGCTCTCGTTCCTTTTCTCTTGTTCAAGCCACCACCATCGCCTCCGTTCACTCTCAGTCCCGATCACCACCAGCACCAGCCCTCCTCCGCGAAGGCCTTCCACCGGCGATCCTCCGCGCAGCAGTCCAGCGCCACCATAGCCAACGACCACCGTGAACGAGTAGCAGTGCCGCCGTCGTCCTCAACTTCCACGTCAAGCAGCGAGCAGCCCTCCATTGCCGTCGGGACCCGAGGAGTTCCGTCGGAGTACCCATCGTAGCCGTCAAGCCCCGTCGAGTTCTGTCGGAGCGTCAACCGTAGCCAGCGAGCCCCGACGCAAGCGGTAGCCACCACGCAGCAAGCCTCCATTGCCGTGAGCAAACAACCACCTTTCGAAGCCACCACCTTCATCGAGCAGCCATCGTACCTCAGCCACGGACAGCCCTTCACGTACACGGCCAAGTCCACCGAGCTTTTATTCGAACCCTTATCGTCATCCTTTTCCGAGCGGTAAAACCCTAACGTCTTAACCTCTTATGGACTGTTAATTTGAATGCGATTAATTACGTAAGAATTATTAATGTGTTAAGACTTGATAATCGAATCTCGTATGCTTGCTTAAGGTCCGAATAAATAAATGTTAAGTTAATGTCGAATTGATATTTGTCGGAGCCTTGCCGGGCTTCCGAAAGAATTGTTTTAATGATATGTGAATAGGGTTTATTGTTGTCAATTTATGTGTTCATAATCGTGTCTTATTGTGTGATAAACTTGCCTAGAATCATCAATTATATGTTACTTTCGACATGTTAAGAAGTTCGGATAATTAGGTTATGATTTCATGTGTAATTGTCATTTTCGTGCTGTCTGTTCGGAAGTAATTTAGGCCCCTAAGATGTTATTTTCAGTTTTCGAGTTCTTCATATTATATATATTTCGTTCAGTTGTGATTACGTGAGCTTTGGAATCGTGCAATTTCGACTTAAAACGAATAAGTTATGATTTTTACAAAATTGACTACGCGAGCAGTTTTTCTTAAATTTGACTGCAGTTAGGTTTAAATGTTTTGTGTATTTATGATGTGATAATATGCTCAAATGAACCTGAAGTCTTCATTGAAATTGTACTCCTATGTGTTATCTTTCATGTGGTTCTGGAATCAAGCAAAAATATGGTCCGAGTAGTGAATGATACCCGTTTTCGTAAAACTGCGCATGAATTTATTTTAAATTTCTGGACAGTATTTTAGCTTTGAATGTTTGCTGGGTTTGGACCATGAATATGAACTTATTTGCTTTTAAATGCTAAATGAAAGTTGTAGTACCATGTCTTGGAAGCAATATGAGACTTGAATCATGTTAATGCGACTTGTATGTTGAAAGATATGCTCGTTTTAAAACTGCAGCACGTGTTAAGTTTTGTCAAGAAATTAAGTGTAATTGCTTAAGTGAGTCTTATATTTATAAAGCATGCTTATGTGATATGTATGAGCT